CCATGAGATGCATGCATTAATATTCCAAGTTTACTACCGTTGAAAGAACCGGATTAATAACAAGCGTATTAACCGATTGATTCTAGTAATAATTAATATGAGAAACAATACTAGGTGATACTTTAAGTAATGTTTAAGATATTAACATGAAATATGAATATGAATTAATTAATACTCAAGGAAGAATATTAAAGAATATGAATCCTACTATGATTAATATCAACATGTTAACTAATTGTCATCTTAGTAACCCTCCCCAATATTAACATAGAGGAAGAAATAGCTATTACTATAACCAATGTCAAGATGTTAACTAATTGTCATCTTAGTAACACTCCCCAACTTTGATATCGAGATAGTATTTTAAAGGAAGAATTAATATTCAAGGAAGAAGATTAAAGAAAATAACTCACAACTTACAAATTCATTAAGCTTCAAAGTAGCAAAACCAAGATGGAAGAGTTTAGCTCCTCATTTGGAGACCAAACATGATGAAAAATATAAAGAAAGAACTATTCTATACTGAGCTTAGATGTACAAAGGAATTTGGTATCTTTTTGTGAAGGAAAGGAGATGTATTTATAGGCTTTTGGGATGGGATTCGGGTACTCGATCGAATATATACATGGTACCCGATCGAGTATGTGTGTAATACTCGATCCGAGGTATACTCGACCGGTTTCAGGCTGTTTTCCATAAGTATATCCGATCGGGTATATATTAATACCCGGTCGAGTATGCTTAGAAAATGGTATTCGGACCATACTCGACCGATCTTCGTTTAAAACTCAAAGGCATACCCGATCGGGTATGTCGGTCTACCCGATCGGGTATAGACATTAAATCGTGGCCGAAATCTTCCCGGCATGTTCCCTTCTCTTCGGATCTGATCCAATTTGAAGTTCCAACCTAATACCCGATCGAGTATAGTTAATACTCGACCGAGTATAGACCAAAATTCAGGATCTTCTTTTGTCTTCAAATTTTTGCACCTTCTTTCCACTCTTTGGGTTCACCAACTGTACTTCGAGTGATTAAGACATGTTTGAGCTCAGAATATATCTAATCTAACCTATTTACAAGAATTTAACAAACTAATCTATTACACCAAAAGTGTGTAATTTCCAAAGTAAAGATCAAGCAAAACTAATTAAAAACACAAACATAAATATGGAAATTACAAACGTATCGGTTATTAATACGATTCTTTCAACGGTAGTAAACTTGGATAATTAATGCATATGTCCCATGGTTAATAATCTAAGGGGAATTAATTATGTTGATTAAACCAATAAACCGCTTGTGTTGAGGTTATCAATCTCAATCGTTTTCATCTTAAGTTTATTGCTACTATCGAGTAAATATACGCCGCGTGTTCTATATTAATTCGGTAGTAAGTTTTATTAATGAACGCGTCTCGGTATTAATAACTACCCTCGATGAACTGGATATACTCCTGAATTGAGTATTCGAGAGGAAGATAGTTAAAGATATAACCGGGATGAACGAACATTTCATTAAGTGGATAAAAGCAAAAGCAAGTTTTCATCCCTATTAAAGTAAACCACATAAGTCGTTCAACTTAGTGTGTTTAAATACATTTTAAATTTATCACCCAATCAAAACCTCCCTTGTTACTATTAATATAAAAGAGAAGTATTCGTTTCCCTGTGGATACGAACCTTACTTCACTATACTACGTATTAGTGTTGTATTGATTAATTATTTTGAGTGCACCTCACGACAAAGTGCACGTCACAGACGCATAGCCAAGAAATACACATTGTATGGAGCGAGGAGAAAGTTTATTGGAGGGAGAGGGAGAAAAATTGGGGTAACAAGCACACCCAAAAACTCTTAAAAAACTATAGTCAGGAGATTTTTGAAAAAGAATATCGTAAGGAGAAACACCATTAAGTGACGGAGTAGGAAGTCTATTAATAATATATGCAGCTGTAAAAATAGCATCAACCCAAAATGTGCTAGGGATAGAGGCCGTAATAAGTATAGTTCTAGCAAATTCTAAAAGGTGACGACGTTTGCGTTCAGCAACACCATTTTGTTAAGGAGTATGTGGGCAAGATTTTTGAAAATAAATGTCATGTTCATAAAAAAAATGCTGCATATTAGAATTAACAAATTCACCCCCTCCATCACTTTGAATAATTTTAATTCTAGAGTGAAACATATTTTCAACTAAAGCTTTAAATAAACGAAATTGAGGAAAAACTTCACTTTTAGTGCGCAAGGGATATATCCAAGTAAACCGAGAAAAATCATCGATAAAACCCACATAATATTTAAAACCTAAATTAGACAATACAGGTGATTGCCAAACATTAGAATGAATTAATTGTAATGGTGCAGAAGAAGTATGACTAGCATCCGAAAAAGGTAATCGTTGAGATTTACCCAAACGACAAGAAACACAATCATGTTCAAAATTAGAAGAACTAGAAATAAGTTTTCTACGATGTAACAAGCGCAAAATAGTTTCACCACAATGTCCTAATCTACGGTGCCACACAGGGCCAGAATTAGTGATAGAAGCTAAAGCTAAAGATGCAGTCAGATTGAGGGTGATAGGGTAAAGATGACCATTATGACGCGCCTGAAGAAGAATCGCCCCCAAAATTTTGTCCTTTACAAAAAAATAATTTTTATCAAAAACAGCAAAACAGTTGTTATCAACACATAATTTTTGAATGAATAATTAAATTTAATTCGAGGCACATGAAAAACAGATTTTAATGTCAACGGGCGACTGAGAGTATTTAAAGTAACATTTCCAACATTAGCAATAGGAAGCTTGGTACCATTCGCAACACTAACAGTCATGGAGCCAAAATAAGAAGATTTATTGGACAGAATACCTTCAGATGATGTCATGTGAGCAGAGGCACCAGAGTCCGAATACAACAAAGCATCGTTTGATTCCCCAATTGGAGCAACCAAAGCAGGTGCAAAAGCTTGTGAAAAACGAGACGATCAATGCATCGTAGAGTGACCTGCAGAAAAACAATTTTGACACACAACTGGAGGAGGGACTGAACCAAGAATACCCTCAGCTGACGGGAAACCTGCATAATCATAGTTAGTACCAGAAGTAGATTTAACATTAATTTTTTATAATGGACATGACAGATTTACCCGACGGAGCATTGTTTGGTCTCGGATGATACACACCCCCTGTGACTGATGGTGCTGGTGCGGCTACTACCCCTGGTGCGGGATAGGGGTGCTGCCCGACCCCTGGAGCTGGCTGGTAAGCATGTTGTTACGGGTGACGGCCCCTGCAACGGCCCCCTCTGCCGCGGCCTCCTCTGCCGCGGTATGCGTGTGGTTGGCCAGGTGGGCCCTGCTGTCCAGGACCAGCTTGCGCCCCAACAGCTTGCTGCAAATTAGAGGATTCCTGATGGCGCTGATGAAGGACGCGTTGTTCCGCTTCAAGTAGTCTATTGTGAAGAATGTCAGGTGGAAATTCATCCAGGAACATGGATATAGTACCCACAACGAAGTCATACTCAGGGCCCAATCCATACAAGGTACTTTGCAGTAATTCTTTATTAGTGTCAGGGGAATTTATTGCAGCTAAGGCATCAGATAAATTCTTAACATCAAGCAAGTATTGTTCCATAGACTGAGTGTCCTTTATTTTAATGGAATTCAAGGTACGCTTAAGTTCCATGGCTCTAGGTAAACTAACAGACATAAAACGTGTTTGAAAACGATTCCATATATGAGCTGAATGTTTAACATCATGCACATCAGTTAATACATTTCGAGTAAGAGTAGCAAACAACCAAGAGCGAATTGTTTGATCTACCCTAAGCCAATGATAATAGTCTGTATTAATGATTTGCTGATTATTAAAATTCACTGTGTACATGGAAGGTACCTGAATGGATCCATCAACGATGCCAAAAAGTCCTTGAGACACAAAAAAAGATTCGAATTGAGTGCGCCAGGTGAGGTAATCTTCAATAGTTTTGAGCTTTATGGTGACAATTTGATTGACATTGGCGATGCCATGAGAAATAGACTGAGCCAATAAGGCCATAGGAGACCCACACCAAAAAGATTTTGGTGGGCTGGCCGTGTAATACCTGGGGAGCCAGCAAACGAAGGCCCAAAAATTGAGGGGAAGGCGGCTGGACTGGCTGAGAGAGTGCCAGAGAGTTCACCATGGGCCAAGGAAGGTGCGACGGGATGCTGTTGAAGAGAGGATATGGATGTGGCGGCGCCCAGACTGAGGAGGAGAATTCTGGCTTGGAGAGTGAGTATGGCGGCTGCGTCGTCGAAGAAGGAATGGCGCCGGAAAACTGCTGGGTCGACACCACTGCAGGGGAGGGTGACGAAAAAGAGATAATCGATGTAGTGACGGACGACGACTGGGACTCGAAGGGTGGATCTGCCGGAGGCGAAACCGCTGGGACAGAAGAAGCGGCGGCGGATGTGGAGGCCATCGTCGACTGCTACGCGGAAGGGACGATCGAGCAAAGTGAGAGAAAAAATAGGGTTTTCTCTAGGCTCTTGATACCATGTAAGATTATTTGGGAAAAGGTGCTCCAATAGGAGTCCTCGATTGAATATATATAATAAAAGAGTTTGAGACATACAAGAAAACAAATATACCTAATAATATTCTATTAGTCATTTCAGGTAATATTTCGGTTGTGCGCAGGCCATGGACGTGGTCATATAATTGACTTTTTAGTTTTTAAGTCATATTTTAAGAAAGTGTTGTAGTTTTAGTATTATTGCGGTATTATTCCCTGTATATTCTCAACCGATTAATCATTTAATCTAAGTTGGCTATTCTATTTTATTCACGAAAGAAAAGTACATACTTCCTCCGGTTCTTATTAAAGTTCTCACTTTCCTTTTTGGGATGTCCCTTATTTAAGTTCACACTTCCATTTTAGGAAACAAAACAATGCAAAACAGTGCCAAACAGTGTCCAAACAGTGTCAAACAGTGCCAAACAGTGCACTCCACAGTAAAGTCAAATTCATTTTCTTAATATGTGTGAAGTCATACTGAGAACTTTAATAAGAACCGGAGGGAGTATATACTACTACGTATGATAGATACTTCGTATATACTAGCAGCTAGTGAATAACTGAATATGATTAGATGCATATTCATTGAAAAAGTGGGGTTTAATTAATTCGTCGAAAAGCAAACCCCAATTACAATTACAATAAATAAATAATATAATAGTCGTGCAAAGAAAAAGCTACAGCTCATAATACATAAGAACTCTCATCCAAAACACAGTCTTAGTTAATGAGGCCCAATTAAGCAGCAGCTAACTAAGACCGAAGATGATATCGAGTTGGTACGGCGGCCTGGGATCAGTTTTCCTGCTCCCGGCCTATGGTCGTGTGTAGTGTTTGGTGTCACCGCATCCCATAATGGACAAGGGCAGTTTCCCCACCCTTTCAATCCCTTCCTCAAAAACCGCACCCATCCCCATGAAGAAATGCGCATCCAGGTGGCAATGAAACAGCCAGACCCCCGGGTTATCCGCCTTGAACCGCAACGCCGTCCAGCCGTAGGGATGGAGCGGGACAGTGTTCTTCATGATCGGGTTCACAAGGTTGAACTTGGCCAGGTCAGTGGAGTTGTTATACCTCCCTGCTCCATAACCCAGCACCCAAAAGTCATGCCCGTGCAAATGCCACGGGTGTAGCTCGCTGTTATTAGGGCTCAGCGTGTTGGCATTCTGAAGGATGATGTCCACAGTGGAGTTGAACTTGAGCTTGTAGTATGAGTCGCTAGCCGTGGCGTTTGGGTTCTTCGGCACGGAATAGATGTCGTAGTTGTTCACGTCGTAGGTGTCCGGAGGCTGTAGTGTTCCGTTCCGAAGCGCGACCAGATACGGCGTTGGGGGTAAAAACAAGGACACATTATTCACGGCCCATTTCCTTATCCCGTTCACGTTGTTTTGCGTGTTCAGCATCACAATTTCGCGGTCCCGTGTTTGGGGCGGGTGCTGGATGAAATCCGGGTGGGCCTTGATTGCCAAGCTCTGCTTCAGCCTCGGCGCAGGGTCCTCCCAACTCACTCCGACCGGTGGAGCGGTGGGCGGCGGCTGCCTTCGATCGTTGCCTTTGTAACTGAATATGCCCAACCCATTTGGTGTGGTCCGGTTCCGAGCCACTACCGCTGAACTCATCCAGTAGTTCCTTGTAGGGTCTTGGCTGGCGTTGACCAATACCGAATATGTTTCGCCCGAATAAATGAACAGATTTTTCACCACGAATGGTTCCACGTAGTGACTATCCGCCTCAACCACGGTCATTTCATGACCCTGCATCCAAATTCAACCAACACCACAAGTCAAATTTACGTTTCATATGAAAAATATATGGGAAGAAAATAAGTACTTCCTCCGTCTTATCTACCTGTCATTTTTTATTTTTGGGGTTTCACAAAATAAGTGTCACATATAATCATGGACCGAACCGGGGTCAGCTGACTCCGTTGAAAGTTTGAGAGTACAGAAATTTGATATATCTTCGATTTGATATATTATGGTCCCCGTAATTCTTTACGAGTAAACAATTATGACTTGTCTAAATTCAGCACTATCTGGACGTAAAATCAGCAAAATTTGATGCATACTACTGATTATTTTCCCAAATTATAAAAATAGGATATAATTTCACTCAATTCTTACATGACACGACTAAAAAATGGAGCAAAAACAATCTATCTTATTGCTACGAATGTCTGTTTATCTAACCGCGTATGAAATATTCAACTCGAATAGTACACATAAGTGTGTCATAATGTTTATTACTTTTGCAAATACTTAATTAGTAGTTGTGCCTAATCGGTGTAGTACACGTAAAATAATATATACGGGTGCTTAGGATATGTATACCTCAATTTCGAAACTTAATGCAGAAAGGCCTGTCAAGCTCCCGATTCTAAGCCGGTAAATCTTGCCGGGATCGACGGAGATGGAATACGGCCAACACTCCGGACTTGAATTATTACAAACTGCATCACTGCATGCACCGCTACAGTTGAACTTTCCTCTTCCATTTATCAAAAGTGACTGTAAAGAAAATAAAGACATCCTGTGGGAACATGCATCTGACTATTTTACCATGGACTCATAATTAAGTACGTTGACTACGAAAAGTTACATTATTTGCCCTCTTCTCTTAACGCGTTCAAAGAAAAAAGTTAACGCGTTTTTCGGAAAGGGTCCGCGGTAACGATTTAGGTGTCATGTTTTTACGGGATGGTAATTTAACTATGATCTGGCAACAACTACTACATGTACTTCTACAATAATTAAAAAGGACTACGGAGTACTTTATACACAAGTTTTGGTAACATATACTCCTCCCTCCTTTAAAACTTTGACATCTTTTCTTTTTTTGGGATGTCCCAAAAAATTTGTCACTTTCCCTTTTAATCAATTATTTTGTGATTTCTGTTATTTCTCTCTCCCATGCACAAACCTCAACCACACAGTTTTTAAGGGACGAATGTAGTATAACATGTTTCTTTAAGTAAGAGCATGATTACATTTTGCTACTTCCTCCATTCCGTTAACAATGGAACAAGAGGGAGTGATACGCAAATTAATAAAATATATTTTATGTGATTGATTTTATGTGATTGATATTGAATTGATAAAGTAAGAATAAAGTAAGAATGATTTAGAGCAACACAAACGTTACCAAATTTGATATGAAACCTTAGTGGAACGAACCGATAAGTTAAAATGAGACAATCATAACGGGACGGAGATATTATACTACAGAGTAATTCTTATCAACTTCAATTGAAAATTTCGTAGTTTTCGTTGTTTAATTGTATTTTAGGAAGTGTGCCTTTTTTACACTTAAATAAGGAATTGAAGCTATTTTTATTTTTAACAAATTGCTCAAAATATATAGAACATATTATTTTATATTCCTTAAAGAGAATTTAATTAGTTTTATTAAAGAGTAATATATAAAGAATTCAAAATAGATGTGAATGATTCTTATTTTAGATAATAAATAATGACACTCGTATTTAAGGGACTGGGATATACTACGTATATTTTACTCATATTTAGGAGATTCATGTCTTTATCTTAGGGCAGAGATAGAGTCCTATTTTAAGATAAAACAAGAGTGCTCTTATTTGAATCGATGTTTCATACTTTACTCTTAATTATTTCCAGCTATTTATTAAAAAAGTACAAGCTCTTATACAATTTAAGGAGCAATCGCTATATTTCCCAAAATTCGCTCAAAAACATCACATGAGCTCGCATTTGACATATATTTTGGTAGTGTATGGCTGATGAATAGTTTTGGCATGTGTCTGGTTTTGAGCTAGGATTCTATGTATCGCATTAATTATGGTTGGCTACACGCATAAGAAAAACTCTTGTTATTTCATTTTCATAAATGGAAAAGCACAGACTCATGGTCTCTAAAATAGTCAACATATTCAAATGTCAGACCCGTGTTATTCAGTTTGTAAATGTTACCCCTCATTTGTCCAAATTACTTTAAATGTAGTCTTTAGAGGGGTGAAATGTACAATGTGGATGAGAAGTAAATTTAATCCTTCAAAGAACCACATTTACAACAATTTGAACAATTGAGAGATGACATTTACAACCTCAGAAATATGGATATGACATTTCAATATGATGACCATTTCGGGGATTAAAAGTGAAAAGTTCCCTTTCATAAAAGATTAACTAATTAACCAATCAGTCCCTGATAAGAAAGCAACTCATAATTATGGTAAAAAAGCATCCTTAATTACTTATTTGACTTCAAATCTACCTGTATCCCACTATCTTTTATGTGAGTGGAAAAAGATTCATTATTTTTTAATACTGTATGAAATTGGAGTGTTCAAAAGTAAGAGTCATATACTCACTTTTAATTTGACAAGTTATGTCATCTTATTCATTTAAGGGTGATTTGCATTTCAGTTGTATCTATTATTAGTTGTGTAACTTTTTTTTTTTTTGAATTTGGTCTGGTAACTAATAAGTTTTTGCAATTTAAGGAATCTTTCATAAGAGAATACACCTCCTAGGGAAAATATACCAAAAAAGGGTATGTTTGGACTAATAAGTTTCTGCAATTTAAACATGTCCTTATATCATCTCCATTCATGCTCTCTAAATAAACTAATTTTTTTATTACACATCATTGCCACATCACACTTATTCAATAAATTTTAAATAATCTCAAAGTTTAAAACTCTTCATCAACAATAATACTCAAATAATCAGTTTTTTCCGGACATGCATTAAATGTAATTTAACTATAATCTAAAATAATCCGGGATTGGAATCTTGATACCGGATTTTCTTTTTCAATAATCTCACTAAATAATCTCTCATTCACAATGATAATCTTTAAAATAATCTTACACATCATCCAATTAATCTTCAAATAAACTCATGGATGAGGATGCCCTTATATCATCAGAGAATACTAGCAAAAAATGTAACATACCATAATGTGCAGTAAAGTGTATCACAACCAATAAAAAAAATTGAAAATAAGTAAAGAATGAAGACCACCATGAAACCATAAGCTTCCATTCTATAGAAGATTCAAGATTGTATTGATAAGCATGAGATGACAATGTATAAAATAATTATTATGTAGTAGGATACATTTTTTAAAATAAAAAACGGGTTAAGAATTTGTAGTATTTATATCAATAAAATATTAATTGATGTCCTTAAACGTCATTTAACAAGTTATCAACCGATTATAAACAACTATTTAACCAAACACCATTTTACAAACAGCTAACCTCATCAACTAATCAAAACAGCTAACTGAATCCGCTGTTATCAATCGGCTAACGCAACCAGCCAACAGCTAACAGCCAACGGCCAATTGCCAAACACCCCCAATACTCCTTCCTCCCAAAAACAACTCCACACTTAGTTTTCCACACATATTAATGAAATAAATTTAGTGGGGGGTAAATTGTACTGTTTTGACACTGTTTTGACACTGTTTAACACTGTTTGACACTGTTTTTGATGTAGATAATTTGCCAAATAAGAAAGTGTTAAGAAGTGTAAAGTTAATTTTGGGACATTCATTTAAGGAAAGTGGAAAGCTGTTTTTGGGAGGGAGGGAGTATTATACAAGTAATTTTGAAGTAAAAATAATTGTACTTGATTTAGATATACTCCGTATATAGTAATTACTTCGTAGTATGGTAGACTAAATTGGAAACACAAAAAAAGTAACACTACAAAAATTAAGAAAAAGTTAGGATGGCGCGTGCTTCAGTTTACATGACTATGCGGGTGTTTGGAACTGATTCTGATTCTGCTTCTTTTTTAATCAGAAGCAGAATCAGCATCAGTTTTCAGAAGCTGGTCACCCTCAGCTTCTAAAAAAATTGATTCTAGGAGTAAATTAGAGCACCAAAATCACTTCTGCACTTTTACCCAAACACTCCAACTTCTGCTTCTGCTCCTTGAAGGAGTAGAAACAGTTTTAAGAATCAAATCCAAGCACCTCCTATAACGTACATCCTCCTGTCACTAGCAGAGTGAATTCTCTATATATAATAATTCTACGCTACTTATATATTCTATTTTGATTACATTTTATATATTAATTTATGTAAATAATTATTTTTAATTTTTTTTTGAACTTGCCTCATTATAAATTTAATTATTTCTGTTTAAAAATCTTTTACTAATAGAGAATTAAATGTAATAACGGTTAAAATTGTGCAATAACAGGTGTGAAAATGAGATTGTTGTCACTAAAAAAGAGTAGAAAAGTGTGTGTGTGTGTGTGTATATATATATATATATATATATATATATATATATATATATATATATATATATATATATATATATATATACCAAAAAAAAATACCTGAGGCTCACCAACCCACTGAAAGGGCGAGGAAGCAAGGCCAACGGCTTGTTCGACATAACCTTTGTGGTACCAATCCTCCAAGAGAATACAGCTTGTGCCGTTATCGTATTTGTTATCGTATTTAAATGGTTCCGGCTTTTTACTAGCCACTATGATCATTCCTTGCGCTCCTTCTTGTCGTAGCATTCCATAATGCATATGGTAAAGGAATGTCCCCGCCTGCATTTAATAATTTACATATAAATAAATATCGTAGTACTACATACTCCCTAGTTCTTTTTCTAATCGTAACGGTCAACATTTCAAATTTGTCAACGCACGTCTTAGACCGTAATTATATTTTAATTCTATTAATAAAAAAATATTAAAAATCAGATTTTGAAAATTTGTAATGAGATGAATTAAACAATATTTTTTTAAAAAATATTTTTTTATAAAATAATAGCGTAAAATGTAGTCAAAATAGAGCATGTGAATAGCGTAAAATTCAACACGTTGCGATTAAAATGGAATGTAGGATAGTACGATGTATCTTTTTATTTATTGACTACCATTATCTTACATGTTACATCATGTTACTCATAGAATTGAAGTACACTTATATTAATATACTCCCTCCGTCCCACAATGAACTTCACAATTTGACCTACACACATATTAAGGAAATAATCTTATCATGTGGTAAATTTTACTGTTTTGACACTGTTTCGACACTGTTTGGCACTGTTTTGCACTGTTTCGACACTGTTTTGCACTATTTGACATTGTTTTGATGTATATTAACTTGCCATTTAAGGAAATAAGAACTTGTTTCTGGGACATCCAAAAAAGGAAAGTGAGAAGTTCATTGCGGGACGGAGGAAGTAATATTTAGTCACATATATTTTTATCCATAATTTATTTTAATAATACTTATATATACTCCTTCCGCCCTGAAAAGTTTCGCCAAATTGACTTTTCTGGATGACGATCTACTTACTTGATGGACGACAAATTTGTAAGAGATGGTTTCCCCCGGTAGAGTTGGGCATTGGGTGACCCCCTCTGTGCCATCAGCCCATGGTGTCCCTCTCTGCATCATCAATTCATATAACTAATTATTATCCATTAAAATAAAGTTAATCAAATTCACAAAACTAGCTAGCTAGCTAGGAAGCATGGCATATTAAAAATAAAATGGATGGAGATCTAGATATGCCTAGCTGGCTAGGCAGGATTGGAGTACGTACTTGGAGATTATATGGATGAATTAATATCTAGCTTTACTTATAGTTGGGGTAAATATTTGGAAGTATAATGTACTCCTGTAATAAAGGAGAAAGTGTTTATCCGGATGACCTATAATTTATTCTATATATTTGAGCTGTCACTACGTACATACAGACCTGTGTGATGCCATGCCAATGGATAGCCAGATTTTCGGTGCCTAGATTGTTGGTGACGTCGACCACGACGGTGTCACCTTCTTCTGCAATGATGGTGGGCCCCGGAGATCCGCCGTTAATAGTCATAGTCAGTTTCCGGTAACAATCCGGCGACTTCATCTCGTACTTTACATCCCATCTATGATGTCGAATTCTGGCCGCCGCCTCCAGTACTAGTGATGAGGCCGTCACGACGAAGAGGATGAAGCAAAGGGCTGATGAAAACCTCCTCATCTGCTGGCCGGAGGGGATGAAGAATTAATAATAATACGGAGTATGACTGGAAAGAATGTGCAGGCTGTTATTTATAGTTTCACGATAATACTGCCGGTCGTAAATGAAATTCACGCTTTTACTTCACACATTAAAGAAATAAATTTGACTTTATTATAGAGTACACTGTTGTGACACTGTTTGACACTGTTTAGTACTGTTTTTCACTGTTTTGATGTAGATAATTTGTCAAATAAGAAAAGGAGAAGAACTGTGAAGTTTATTTTGGACCTACCCAAAAAGGAAAGTGTGAATTTCATTTGGGATCGAAAGGATAGATGAATGCAAGACTAATAAACACTGAACCGGTCAACATAGACGGTGATCAAACCCGAAATTTCCCGGTGATTAATAATGAATAAATGTAAATGGACTGTTTCCCAGTCAACTCCTTCCTTCCCTAGTCTCATATCCCGATGTACGTATGAGCTGCAAATTGCAAAGTGGTACCCACTTTAATGTTAAGTGGAAATTACCTACCCACTTTCTACACACTTTCTAGATAATAATACTTCCTCCGATTTTTATTAAATTTCACACTTTCCTTTTTGCGACTGATGAATAGTGTACCTGAGGTTAGTTTGTCCGAGGGGTTGCTGCGTGGAGTAACCTAGAAAGAAGTCAGAGCAAGTAAATAAGAGAGATAAAAATTTCGAATGTGAATTTTAGTTGTATTGAGCGTGGTTTACAATGGGGGAACGGAGTGCTATTTATAGTAGCAATAAATGCTAGATGGGGACACATGTCAATATTCCGGTGGTCGACGGGTCACCTCAAATGGGGTGGCACTGGCACTCGCATGTGGTCGCATTAAATGCGGTTGTTGGATGCGACGTTTGAACCACATGCGTTGATCCAGCGCATGTGGGGATGAGATTCTGTCGAGGAAGGTGCCTTCGGCTGTAGATGACAGTTCGAAGGCTCTGCGTACTGGGGGCCTCATAGTGCCGAGGGCTCCAATTACCGAAGGCTTGGTTTTTAAGCCTTCTTTTCCTACGACGTTGTTGAAATCGATTCTATCATTGATAGCCTTCGGCCATGGGGCCGAAGGCACCCCTTCATGCATCATGGGCTGCTTAGAGCTCCATTCTGCTGGGCTTGGCCCGTTTTGGGCATGTTGGGCCTGAATGTAATAGTGGAAGTATGTGGGCCGGGGAGTCCTTGGGCCATATACTCCATCAGAAGTCCCTCACTCTTTTTGCCGAAAGGTACTTGAGGGAAAAGGAGTAATTGCGTTAGTCCTTTGATGCTGGTGTTTTGCTTTGTAGTCTGTAGAGTTTGTGAGGAGTTCTTCGTCTGCATGTTCTGCCTCGCCGAGGGCAGTTTCTCAATCCCCACATTCTGGGATTTGAAGGATTATGTGATTTTGCATTTTTGTGAATTTCCCGACGGGGTCCTTCAGTCCCTCACTCCTTGAGACACATGTAATGTGGTTAGAAGGAGTAGGGTAGTGCCTGTTTCTATCTCAGGGCCGAAGGCTTGTGCTTTTCGTTTCATTTGGGGGGGGGGGGGGGGGCTCGTTAAAAACCTCGTTAGAAAAAACCCGGTGGGAAAAAATTCTAATGAGGGAAAAAGAATGCACCGAATTCCCCCAATGATGAATCGAAAAGGTCAACCATTGGTCTGAGTACACTGCCAATGCCGAAGGCCGCCCTTAATTTGGAGGCTCGCTTGTTGATTAGCCGGAGGCATCCTTTCGATATTTTGGTGATACCGAGGGGAGTCCTTCAGTTATTGGGGCTGAAGGTGTGTTGTCATAGGTGGTAGTTCATGTGTTGCCCAGGGGGTTCTTTAGCTCTTGATAAGTTGGGGGCTGAGGGGTCCCGAGGGGTTTTCCGTTGTGAATCCGTGGGCTCCTCTGGATGGAGTGGCCTGAAGGAGTTATCCTAGAGGCATGCATAGTGTTGTTTGAGGGGGGACAGCTGAGGGCATTTCTGTATCCTCGAAATATAGCCGTTGTAATGTGACCGTTGGAGAAGGCGTCCACGTGGCGCACGGTCGTTGGTTGTCCGCAGGCAGGCGTCACCGGTTGGCTGAGATGACGGTGTGTAATGATGACTTCGGTGACTGGGGCCCGGTTCTCGGTCCAAGCCCAGATTTGGGGAGCCTATAAATACCCCTGACCATCGCCATTTCCCCTTACGCATTTCTGTAGTAGCGAAGCTCCGGCAAAAATTTTCTAGAGAGAGAAACCAATCTTCGATCAAAACCAAGTTTCCGATGTAAATTCTTGCTCCATTCTCTGCTTCCTTAGTGTACTTTGCTTTCCGGTCGTAGATTAAGTGTTAGAGCCTTAAAGCCCTTAGAATCTTCCTTCGAACCCCTCGGTTTAGTATCCAAAATGTCTTCACACAGTGACTCCCAAGATATCTCGAGGGAGCCATCGGTAGAAACAGAAAGTGTGTCCGACATGGGGTCTTCGAGAGAGCGGTCTTCGGCGGTTGATGATGCTGCCGTGGCTTTGGAGGTGCAAAAAGATCTAGTGGCAGAGGCCGAGGCGGAAGATTTCGAACAAGTGGGGGAAGATGAGGAGTTAGCCCTCGCTGTTCAGGTTGCGGAGGAGGAAGAGGAGAAAGAGAGGAAAAGAGTCACCGTCGCCATCCTCCCCGCCCGCAATGCTGGAGAAGTCAGCACCTCCCAGCCCCTAGATCCGACGCCCATTAGCGTGGCCCCCGGGAAGAAGAAAAAGGCGAGGGCTGCTCCAAAGAAGAAACAAGCTGCCGTCGACGCTGGGCAACCAGTAGGAATTCCCGAAGGCTATTCCTACCTGAACACAGTCGCCTTAGAGGTGAAAACCAGAGGCACACAGGGGGAGTACATGGCGACACAGCTCTTGGTCGGGCCCTCGGCATAGGTGGTGGAGCCGGGGCCAGATGACGTTCTATTGCATGCCCCCGCCGGCTGTTTTGCCGTACACATACTCTCGGTGGAGTTGGGCCTCCGATTCTCCCTCCACCCCTTCGTGATCGAGTACCTTCGCTTCGTCAAACTCGCCCCCCTGCCATTTGACCCCAAATAGCCACTGCTACTTGGCTGGTTTCCTTTCCCTTTGCCGGAGCAGGGATGTGGAGCCCACGTTAGATCAGTTCTTCCTCTCCTTCAACCTCTACCGGGGAGGTCACTCAAATGCCGGATGCTTCGCCAACCTGCAGCAGCTCCCCGAGTTCAGACTCTTCAACGATGTCCCCTCGTCTCACAAAGGGTGGAAAGACAAATTTTGGTATGTCCGTATGGCGGAGAATCCCTTCCCGGCCCCACTCCGTGATAGCTTCCGGAGGCATGTAAAGGTAGAGAGTGCCGCCTTGGAGAAGAAGGGGAGGAAACTTTCCAAGAAGCCGGAGGGGTCCGAGAAGCACGTATTGATCAAGGTCGCCACCCTCCCGGACGAGCTTTACGATTTGGGCTTCCGTCGGTACCAACTGATGGGGGAAAAAGATGAGAGATATCCCCCTATCGATAGGGTCTACCAAAGTGCCGGAGGTTGTCGCCTTGCCGAGGGCTCTCATTTTACACTTAGAATTTTTTGTGTCTTGCTGTAGTATTATTCTAACGCTTCTGTACTTCCTTTGATTTTCAGGACCAGACATGGATTCTAAGAATCTCGCCAGGTTGAAGAGGCAACTTGCCAAAGAGGACAAGAAGAAGGCGGCCTCGGCGCATGCTGTTAGTTTTCTCGCACTTAAAAAGATTGTAATATAGTGGTGTAAGTACGAGTATCGAGCGATAAAAATAAAATCCCCAAAATTGTCCAAGTACATATCAGGCAAATATTACGCATTACAGACGAAAGCGCTAAAAAAAAGAAGGGAAAAACTTGGACAAATACCAAGGTAAACCCCCGCGGCCGATAAGGGCATACATATAGCCGGCGTCGGACAACCCCAACGGTAAGCCTTTATCAGCCACTCATAAAGGAAGCAATCACCCAAGTATGTTCAAACACTTAGAAAAATTTCTAAGTATTTGGAGAAATTCCTGAGTAGCATCCAGAGCGGCCGACGAGGACAAGGGTCCGGTCTATCCAAACACTTAGAACAATTTCCAAAACTTTTTAAGCGGGACACTTAGAGAAGTCCACAAAAGTGTGACGTCAAGCGTCACAAAGACGAAGCAGACATTCCCCCTCAGCCGAGCAAAGGACAAGTCCCCTCATCGGATACAACTACAGGAATCAGGCTTGAGTTCTTGTTTAAACACTTGAAAAAATTACAAGTGAAACAAAAGAAATGAGGAATGACACAAGACGAAGAGTACACGATAGACGGAACTACGAGTTGTCGAAAAAGGCCGTATTGGCCGACGAAGGCCCCGAACTAGAGCAACTACTTAGTTTGACAGTTCGTTGCCCCGCATCGGCTTTCCCCGCATCGGCTTGCCCAGAAGCAACTTCGTTTGACACTTTCTCTGGGGTGGCTTCATCAGCAACTAGCCCCGCATCGGCTTGCCGAGAAGCAACTTCGTTTCCCTCCTCCGTCCTTGCACCTCCGCCCGCCTCGGCTGCTGAGGAGACCGCAGTGTCGACTAAGGCATCATCATCGGACCAATCAGGCTCACCGAAGGAGGAACTGAGTACCGAATCTTGCCTCTCAGACGGGGGGAGCTTTGCTTCGGCCTCCGGATCTTTCATCAGCCTCGGAAGTTTCAAGTTTTTCTTAGCCCATTTCTGGGTGAGTTTCAGCTTTTTGAATGCCCGGTGCAGCCTCCGGTAGATCAACCATTGCATCCTCTGCTGACCCATGCCGTAGTAAACAGACATTTCACGGGCAAAGTATTCTTGGCCAGCAGGGCAATTCTGGCCGCAGTCCTCAAGACAATCCGCCACTACCTCGTAGCACCAGGGCCGACAGTCCTCAGCCTTCCAGCCTTCGGTCAGGAATCTTTCGATAGCGCCATGATACGTTCGTAATTTCCATATCTATGTTTATGTTTTTAATTAGTTTTGCTTGACTTTTACTTTGGAAATTACACACTCTTGGTGTAATAGATTAGATTGTTAAATTCTTGTAAATAGGTTAGATTAGATATATTCTGAGCTTAAGCAGGTTTTGGTCACTCAAAGTACAGTTGGTGAACCCAAAAAGTGAAGAAAAGGTGCAAAAGTTCAAAGACAAAAGAAGATCCTGAATTTTGGTCTATACTCGGTCGAGTATTAGCTATACTCGATCGGGTATTAGGTTAGAACTTCAAATCGGATCAGATCCGAAGACAAGGGAACATGCAGGGAAGATTTCGACCACGATTTTATGTCTATACCCGATCGGGTAGACCGAGATACCCGATCGGGTATGCCTTTGAATTTCAAAAGAATTTCGGTCGAGTATGGTTCGAATACCATTTTCTAAGCATACTCGACCGGGTAGTCATATATACTCGATCGGGTATACCCTTAGAAAATAGCCTGAAACCGGTCGAGTATGTCTCGGATCGAGTGTTACACAAATACTCGATCGGGTACCATGTATATACCCGATCGAGTACTCGAACCCCATCCCAAAAACCTATAAATACACCTCCTTTCCTTCACAAAAAGATATCCAATTCCTT